TCCAGTCCTACAAGCAGTGTGTCTTACCTGAAGAAGAAGTCTACCAGCATGTCCGGCAACCAGATGTACAGAAGGTGTGTTTTTTCTTGCCCTCGGTACATCAAGGATTGGAGATTCACATGAGATGTGTGTCTCATGTTTGGGGATGGAGCACGCCCGGGCAGCTCTCGAGGGGGCTGCCTGCGCCCGTTGCGAAGCCCTTTCCGTGCGGGTACTGAGGTACAGCATGGCTCTCTTTTCCGAGGATGGCCGGATGTGTTTTCCCCGTGGCGCGGGCCCTGCGGCCGCTGAGGCGGCCCGGCGGCTTCACTCATGGGGTTCACAGCGTGATCTGTCGGAGGATTTCGGGACAGCTGAGGCTTTTTCCCGGCCTTCATCCGCTGGCTCCGACGCTTCCTTTCCTCGTTTGGGAGCCCGTTCTCGGCTTCTCCCGCTCGCGGTTTGGATCCGGAGACGCTGCAGCAAACCGACTCCGAGGAGGCGGACGCGCTCAGCGTAGTGGACGATGACTTCCGGGTGTTGGGGCGGCGTCACCTGGCGGTGCCCGACTATGACGTGCTGCTGGAGGTGGTGACTAGAGCCGTGGCTAAGCTCAACATCAACTGGCCACAGGAGGAGCAGACACCACAGGCTAATGGTAAGCTTGATGAAAGGTTTCTTAAGCACCACGCACCACCTCCACGCTGGTCTCTGCCATTCTTTCCTGATTTACATGATGAACTGAGTAATCATGGGGCAGACCCTTCTCTACACGGCTTTCCACACCCCTATCACTGAATTACAGTAATGTGATGGGGGTTAGGGACCGTGGTTATGGGAGGATGCCTCAGGTGGAGGATGCGCTTGCAAGCTATCTCTCCCCTCGACTTGCGTCCTCCCTGGAGAAGCCGGCATTACCCTCCAAGCCATGTCGCACCACATCTACGCTCGTGGGGAAGGCGTACATGGCAGCGGGCCAGGCAGGTGCGAGCTTGCACACCATGGCGGTGCTTCAAGCCTACCAAGCCGACCTGCTACAGGAGATGGTTCAGAGGGGGGGTCCCTCTGAGGAAGATCTGGCGGAGCTTCGCAGAACCATGGAGCATTAGACGCAGGGCGAAGCGTTCCGCCAGTACCTCCCTCGCCGGTCTGGACCCAAGGCAGCTGAGGCTGCCAGGCATAGGTCCCTTCCCTCTACGAGCTCCTACGGAGAGGGGAGGAAGCAGAGTGTCGCTTCTCGGGGGCCCCCCCGAGGAGCTGAGGCAGCGAGACGGCGCTCTCACCCTCAGCTTTCTGAGAGACGCAATCTGAGGACCGTCATCCAGTCCCGACGGAGCTCAGGGAAGACCGGGGTAGGGGAGTCTTTCTCCCCTCCCCTTCCATTCAGCCTGGCACTTCCCCTCGCACATTCACCAAGTGTATGGATGCAGCACTGGCCCCGCTGAGGCTCCAGGGCGTCCGGATTTCAACTACATCGACGACTGGCTCATCCTAGCCCTGTCTCGAGAGTTGGCGATTCGGCATCGAGATGTCGTTCTGGCTCATCTGCGGCGTTTAGGGCTGAGGCTCAACGCAAAGAAGAGGGGTGAAGGGGTGAAGTTAGGCCACGCCATCACTATAAAACACTTTCAATGAGTGTTGGGTCTCCTGGCGGCTGCGTCCAGCGTAATACCATCTGGACTGCTGCACGTGAGACCCCTGCAGTCGTGGCTAAGGACCAAGGGTTTTTCCCCGAGGGGAAATCCTCTCCGTCTGATTTGGGTTACGCGCAAGTGTCTTCGTTCCCTATCAGTTTGGAAGGAAACTTGGTTCCTGTCCCAGGGGCCCTTGCTGGGAGGGTCTTGTCGCCGGCTGGTCATTTCGACAGACGCCTCCCTCACGGGCTGGGGCGCGGTCATGGACGGCCGCTTTGCAAGGGGATCCTGGCAGGTGCATCAATCCGAGTGGCATATCAACTGTCTCAAGATGTTGGCGGTGTTCCAGGCTCTAAGGAGTTTCCTGCCCGATCTCCAAGGCCACCACGTCCTGGTTTGTTCCGACAACACAGCGGTGGTGGCCTCTCTGAATCACCAGGGCGGTCTGCGCTCACGCCCTCTGTACAGACTGCCGCGTCAGATCCTCCTGTGGTCCCAGCAGAGGTTGCTATCGCTCAGGGCGATGTATCTCCCGGGGACGCAGAATCAGGGAGCAGACCTGCTGTCGAGGCACGGGCTGAGGCCCGGGGAATGGAGACTTCACCCCGAAGTGGTGGAGCTCTTGTGCGAAGAGTTCGGCCCCATAGACGTGGATCTGTTTGTGTCTCAAGAGACTACGCACTGCCCGCTATGGTTTTCTCTCGTTCCTCCAGCCCCGTTGGGTCTGGATGCCATGGTACATTCGTGGCCGAGGCTACGTCTGTACACATTCCCCCCAGTCGCTCTGCTCCCGGGGGTTCTGGAGCGGGTCCACCAGGACAATGTCAGCCTACTGCTTGTAGCCCCGTTCTGGCCAACACGGGTGTGGTTCTCGGACATCATGATCGCTCCTGGACGGCCCGCCGTGGCGGGTCCCTCTGAGGAGAGACCTGCTGTCTGAGGCGCAGGGCCAGGTTCTTCACCCTTGCCCCGCCATATGGCGACTGTGGGTCTGGCCCCTTAGGGGGCACAGTACCTAGAGGCGGGTCTAACAGCCAGAGCAGTCAAGACCCTCCTCAGCTCCAGGGCCCCGTCCACACGGATCCTCCGTGGTGCCCGGATGAGACCTGCGACTCGGTCCAAGGTTCCCACTTGGGATCTGGCGGTGGTTCTTGGGGCGTTGGCTGAGGCCCCCTTCGAACCCCTGGAGTCAGCTGAGGCTAAGCACTTGACCCTCAAGATGGCCTTTCTCCTTGCTATCACCTCTCTGAGGAGGGTGGGGGATCTCCAAGCGCTTTAGGTTTCTCCGCAAGCCTGGAGTTTGCCCCGGGGAATATTAGGGCTATCCCGCACCCTCGTCCAGGATACATCCCTAAAGTGCCTTCTTGTGCGGCAGGGTCCACAGTGCTGCAGGCATTTCATCCTCCACCTCATGTGACGGCGGAGGACGGGAGACTTCATCTGCTCTGCCCTGTCAGAGCACTGAGTGTTACACTCTGAGGTCCTCCCGTTGGAGGAAGGCTGACCAGCTGCTAGTGTGTTTTGGGTCCCCCAGGGCTGGGCTCCCTGCATCCAAACATACTATTAGCAACTGGATTGTTCAGACCATATCCCTGGCCTATCAGGTGCGCGGTTTGCCTTCACCTGTGGCTGTGAGGGCTCATTCTACCAGAGGCATGGCGGCCTCTCGAGCCCTCCTTTCCGGGGCCTCTTTGCAGGATGTTTGTTAGCGGCTGGCTGGGCCACTCCGCACACATTCATTCGGTTTTACAGTCTTGACCTTCCTTCGGCACCTGGCACTCATGCGCTCTCCTCTTAGTCGTGCCACTTTATTGCACACTGGGGCAGGCGGGGTTTTCGGCACAGTTTAGTGGGTATCTCGTTCCCATAGTGTTGTAATCGGCACAGTTCGAGTTCCCTCGAAGGGGAACGTCTCGGGTTACGTATGTAACCCTGGTTCCCCGAGAAGGGGAACGAGACACTGTGTCGCCCCGCCGCACCTCTCTCCCCGCCTGAAGCGCCTGCTTCATAGTTTAAGCTAATGATGAGTGTGTACAGGTGTGCTTTATACTCCTCCGGTTATTCCGTCACACCTTACCGTTCTAGCAACAAGCCAATAGGATTGGAGTGATTTCATTCACGTTCAGACCTGCTACGCCTAGAGGCGTTCCCATAGTGTCGTAACCGACGCAGTTCGAGTTCCCCTTCTCGGGGAACCAGGGTTACATACGTAACCCGAGACGTTTTTCGTACAACCTGAATCTCTTTACAGTCTCTTAATGCCTCAAGTTAAAGTGACTCACCATATCGTCAACCCCCAAATGGCCACACATGATTTCTGATGATTGACCTGAGACTGGCCTGTTACATCCTGCCATGAATGCCATTTTCCTGTTTTGCTGTGTAGGACACAGGCAACCAAATTGTAGAGACAAGAATGAAACGGACCGGTTTTGTGAATGTTCTGAAATATGTAGAAATTATGACAAAATGCCAAAACAGGGCTTTACAGAACCCCCTAAACCTTTTATAATAATGAAGTTCATTATTAAAAAGATAATAAGGAATAATAAGGAATAAGGAACAGGCAAATAGAAAAATGCCTAACACGTTTTTTTTTTTTGTTAAAACTCTTTTAGCTTGTCTTGACTGACCAGAAACACTGTGCAAGAATGCTGTTTAAATGAGACACAAGTAAAAATGTTAGAATTGACATGAAATAAAAATAACTATTACAATAACTGAACATGAGACCCTGAATTTATCAGTTTAAACAAACAAATTCTTCTGTGGATGCGGCGGGCTGTTTGTGATTCCGCCTGAAGCCAGGCTCTGGTTTTGCTCAGGCCTGACAGCAAAAGCAGGTCAGTTCTCTACTGCTTCACACGTTAGATGATAGATGAATCGTCTTCGTGCATATTCAGGTGTGTGTGGACGGTATGCACATTACAAACAGACAGAAAGGAACACAGGGTGACAACAGGGCATTTTGTACCCCTCTCTCTCACCCCCTGAGCAAAGTTACAAAACGCTGCATTCTTTCCACAGATCCTTATGATAACACAGACTGTGCTGCCTTTGAATAGCAAAGTAACTTATCATTGATGTGAGCCTTGAATTCCAGGACCATTCATCCATCTCGGACCTCCTTTTGAACACAGAGATGTGTTTTAATCACACATGCTGCCTAAAAGGATTTCTTTTCCCTCAAATGATTCTACATTTCAAGTGTAGTTTCTTCACAGAAATCACTTTATGTAACACAACGCACTTTCCCAAAGCAAACAGACAAGGCCACAAATGACTAAAAACTAAAAGTAAGATTAGGGTAATTTCTTCTTATTGCTTTTTAGCTTCAGTTTATCTTTATAATCAAAAAAACTTTGAGAGACAGATAGTAAAGACTGGTACAGGCTTCAGTTCTAATTTATTTGCTTTAAACTTTTGCACACAATACTCTTTGATACAGAAACATCACTTTCAGTGTTCTACATGACTTTTTTACCTTCCCTACCTTCTCTCATAACAAAAGTAATTCTATAAGCTGTAAAATAACACATCTGTTGATCCATACATGCAATATAATAAAAGCATTTTACAAAAGAATGAGCAAAAACATGCAGTTCATGCGAGAAATTCTCGAACATATATGTACAATATCCATGTCCTTTTCCTCTGTTACGTCCTTCTATGTCAGTGTGACAGTATTAATTTCTCCAACTCTTTCAGACTAGACGGCAAACACAAACACAGGCACAGTGTTCCTCCGGTCCTGAAAGCAGCTCCTCTCAGAGCCAATCCTACACACCTGTTTCCATGATGTGTTTGCAGAACTGAAAACATTTTATTCCTGAGTACAAACAGACATCTTTATGGTGCTTCGGCCTCCCTGTGTCAAACACATCTTTCAGCAGACCTTTGTTTCTCAGTGTCATTTGTTCAGGTGGTCGCTGCTCTCTTTCTCTCACTCTCGCTGCCTCCACAGCCACATTATTTAGCGAGCTTTCTTCTTCTGAGCTTCAGAAGACTTGTCTGAACAAGGTGCATCCAGAGGTCTCTTGGACCGGCTGACCACAGCTCTGAGGGCCAAAAATTCAGTCACATAATTAAAAAAATAGGATCAAAACGTAAGTCGTAAGAGTATATGGTAATGGTTCAAAGTCATTCAAAGCTCACCTTAGGATGTTGAATATGTTGAGTTGACGTCTCTTTACAGATCCCTTTGTGGAAGTGATTTCTGAGCTGCACACAAGAAAACAGTTTGATTACTAAAAAATTACCAGTGCCTTTGATGTACAGACTTAACCATGACATTGCAGTTTGTCACTTTAAATGTTTTATTGTATTGCTGTTAAAGCTAGGGTAGGCAACGCTGGAGAAAACATCTCCAAAGCCACTCCCCTAAAACACATTTTCATGCACTGTGAGTGCATGAAACTGGTCAGCGAATCACCTCATTTGAATGCATGAAATGATTGGCTGTGGTTATTACAGTCCTGTGACAGTCACCAATGCCGGATTTTTTTTAATTATTGTGTCAGAGAATTAGATTTATTGATTGATGTTGGGATGTAAAGAGAATTTTGACAAATATAACAAAATGCTTCGGAATTAATTGCCTATACCTCAGCTTTAAAGAACACCAGACTATCAAAAGCACACAACACTATATATTTTATTTTCATAATCTCAGTAACCTGAAAAAGTCTTATCTTTACAGGCTCACTGAATGTTTTATGTTACAAGAAAACAGCAGATATAATTTCTGTCACACTGTTTATAGGCGGTGACAGTATTTGTTTGACATTTCTAGGATTCTGGACTACACACTTCACTCCTCGGCCCTCAGAGCCAATCAAAAGCAAGCTTTGCGCACAAGCCTGAGAGTCTTCTACTCCCCCAGATCTCAGCTGTATTGTTTTGCTGATCACACCCTTGCTCAAGCAGAACTTTCACAACACATTTAGGCTGATAATAGCATTGCAGTGAAATGAGATGTTCCCTCAGACTCTGCCCCTCCTTGTCCTCCACAAAGGGTAATAATACCTGCCTTTACAAACTAAGCAACCTGTGATGGAAACACATGGGCTCTGGTCCTGACTCACCTGTGAAGGCAGAAGCTGGTGCAGGTCTGATCAACAGGGTTGGCACAGGTGCAGCGCCAAGTGGACCTCCTGCGTCTGGACAGAGCACTGCCTAGACCATAAACTGTTGTCTTACTGGAGAGAGAAATAAAGACATGTGCAAGATATAAACATTCTGCAGACTTTGCTCTCTGATACTTCATGCACCGTTGCCCATTTAATTATACAGTGATAGGACATGTTTATAATGCAGATATTGAGCTTAAATTGATAATGCGACTTTTGTGCTGCATTTTTAATCATCCTGACCAAGATGCTTTACATAACATTTATCCACACTTTGCACACCTCTGACATAAATAGATTTGTCTTGCTCAGTGACACATTTGTGGATGTGTCACAGTGGGGAATTGAACCTGGGTTTCTTACACCAAAGGCATGTGTCTTATCCCCTGCTCTCTCACCACCCCCCACTATAACCACTGTAACAAAAGTCAGTATACAGGTGAGTATGCTGCATGTGTGTGTCTTGTCATGCTCACCTGGGTGTGTTGACCCAGATTATATCCAGGTGGCAGAAGTAGTGGCACTCAGAGTCCATTGGGCTGCTGCAGGCACAACGCTTGGTCCTCTCTGTCTGTGGTAGGACACCTTCACCGGCCTCCAATTCCAGCTGTTTCATCACTGGAAGACCCGAACCTGGTCCGAAACAAAGAGGGACTCAGTAAAAGTTTGCAAGTGAGAACAAAGCAAACAGACTTAATTATAGGATGGAAAAGCATGAATTCCTTGGCTTTTTTTCATGTCATGAACAGTCGAACACAAGGCTAAATCTAACAAACATTCTCACTTCTTCCATTGTTTTAGAAAAAAAGCCTGCATGAAGTAATAAAAAACACTACCATACTCTTACCACTTGTACTTAAGTTATCATAGGAATCAATTACAAACCTCCTTGAGATAAAATGAGCAGCTTTTGTGGGCTGAACTGATCTATTCATGTGTTCTGTGCTTCTGGTCTTGCCAAAATATGTATATGCACCAACATACGGCGATGGCTGTTTCTGCTTTGTGGCTGAAATTGAAGCCAGTGTACATACAGTATATGAGTCACAGTCTACACTGCTAATAAAAACACAAAGAAATAGCAAAGTGTTTTTTGATATTCTCTTTTCTAGCACAACAGAGAAAGTTCTTAGATCGAAGTGATGATGAACCCACTAATATAAGTATAATTACAATATAATATCAAATTGATTATTTTCTGAATAAATCTTAAAATAAATAGACTCACCATCCTGCATGGACGCCCAGAAAGTGATGAGAAGAAGAACACTGGTGTTAGGAGACATAGCTGAAAGAAGATGGATGGAGGTCTGCAGAGAGACAAGTATCCGCACAGTTACAGCCGTGGTTTGAAAGTGCTGCTGCTGTTTGCAGGTGTCTGAGCTCTGTGACTCTCTTATTCCTCTCCCCTCCCTTCATGATGTCATGGCACAGGCTCCACCCATGGCTGCAGGGCATGGAGCCACAGTGTACGACCCCATGGAGATCAAAACTGTGACGCATACCAGGAATATAGACACCAGTGTCACCTGCTGAGTGACATTTATGCATCTTTGCCTTAAAATGAGGAGTTGTCTCTTTCCTTTATTTATACATTTTTTATTTTATTTTATTTTACCTTTATTTTACCAGGAAGTCTCATTGAGATCAAAAATCTCTTTTACAAGAGAGACCTGGCCAAGGTGGCATACATACAAAGCTAATTAAAATGCTACATACAATCATGACAAAATTTGCCAAAAAAAATACAATGACCTCTCAAGAAAAACAACCACATGTCTCCTGACCACATTCTTTATGATGCTCTTAAATTTATCAGTTGATATAATATAATTTAAGATCTTTTTGCAAATTATTCCATGCGACAGAGAAGGGTACAGAGGTAAGCTGGAAGTTTACCTAGTATGGCGCTCTAAATAAAAATATACCAGTGCTGTTTTCTGCAGGAGGTCAGTGATGTCCAACCCACCAAATCATAAAGAATGCAATGGTGAATGAGGGAATTTGCATTTGTAATAAAGCGTAGAGATGCATGATACACTGAATCAAGGCTCTGTAAGATGGAGGAGGCTGCATGCATATATAATATGTCACCATGAGGTTACAGGGGGAGGAAGGGAGAGATGGGGGAAGACATGAGGTCTGAAGAAGGGTTGGAGAGATTACCTAATGTGCTAGAGTTGAGAGGTGGAGGTTGATGAATCCTGATATGGATATGCTCAAGGAGGACTAAGGTAATGGATCCCAATAGTGATCACTGGGAACATGTGTTGGAAGAGATAACAGGGAAGATACAGTGATGTGCTGGTATAGAAAGGAGACATTTTAAATTGGGTTTTCCCAAGGCCAGTTTCTCTATTGGAACAAAACTTAAACAACAAAATGACATCTACAACATGTCAGAAAAACAATTGTGATCTTTTAATGTATTCTGAAACATTTCAACATTTTTTGAATTGACTGAAAACGACCCTGTTTTCAGGCAATAATGGATGAGTCAAGCTTTTAACCTCAAAGAACGTACTGAGAATGTTCATGATTTTTGACATTATTTGCTTATGAGTAAGTTACGTGTAGTGATTAGCATAAATCCATTGCAAAATTTGGGCTTCAATCAAATAATAGCACCAAACACCAGACATAGTGACTGAGTTATTAGCAGCTAAAGAACCAGATATTTCCCTCAGAAGTGGGTATTGAGCTTCATCAGGTGGACACAAACATGACTCCAAATGAATGATAAAGTAGCTCCATTACTGTTGGATGAGTAAATAAGAAACTGTTTTACAACACGTTTGCCATATGAACCTAAAGATGAGGGATGATATGTTTCCTCTGCCCCCCTAAATGGGGGAAAAAAATCAGTAATAGCAATTTTTACAAATATGAGTTTTGAAATTTGACTAACTGACAGTGTAACTGTCACAAACAAAATTACGTTTGAAATTGATGCCTCCATGATGGCTGGGGATGGCCCACACACAGATAAGCAGGCTGCTTTTCCCTGCTGGCAGTGGTGCTACTAGTCCTGTCCCACCCACGATGTGCCCAGTATGCAGCTCAGCCGTGCCAGAGTCATGCAGATAGCCAAATGGCAGCTATCACTCATTTAAATACAGTAAATGCATGTTCAGATTAGTACCATGGATACTGTCCTCACTGCTGTAATTTCCCGAAAGATGAATGGACTAATGAACATGAAAAATAATGTTTTGCTACTGTGGGTTTAGATTGGCTAATGGAAAGGTGATCATGTGAGGCATGTTGTGTTTTAGGATAAAGATGGATGTGTAATCATTTAACAAAGTCAGACTTGTTTGCTCAGTAGTTATTACTAAGGGGAGATAAACATACATTGTCGCCATTCATTTTTCATAATCCCTTCTAGGGATAATGTTTACCTAAAGGGGCTTATAATCCGCTTTCCATGAAACCTGACACCTGAACGTATAGAACACAGCAGAGAGAGAGATCAGACAGTACTTTTCCTCTGTACAGTGGGCATGGCCAGTGTACAAAAACATTATGCCTATGAAAATAGAGAAGAAGACAATTAAAAAGCAGGAGAAGACAAGTGGGAGGACAGAACATAGAGCAGTCATTAAAATGATTTTGCTATACAACCCAAAACTCCCAAACTCTCAGAATAAGAGTCCATTATGGAGTCAATCAGAATACTCTAGTGATTAATAAATAACCTGCGACACTTGCGGCTGGGAGGGGTTCACATTTTTCTCCCACATAAAGAATTGTGGAATGTGTGACATGGTGATGAGATTTGCAGTCTGCATCATGATAGAGTAGGTTGTTTTAAACACATTCTTACACCAGAGGTTATAAGTTCAGTTCCCTCAGGAGCACAGATGTGCCTCCCTCCGCAGGCATCACATCCCTTTAAGCCCTCTCTCCAAATAATAATAGCAAGTAAAAGTTAAGGATAAAATTCCCTTATGTATTCATCCACGCCCTACAGCCTCTGCCAGCTTCTGTCCTAGAAGGTGTTTGTTTTAATTAGCAGCCTTACCTCCTCAGTTCACTCCTTTGAAAATATATTCTCCCTCTAACCCCTCTGGCTCTGTGTCGTCAGCATGTAGAGGGCTTCGAGGGAGGAAGAATGATCATTCACTTTCAACTATTTTAGACACGTGTCTAAAAATACACATGCCTCCCTGTTGTCTGTTTTGTTTCACATTTTCTGTGGAATGTCAAGTCACAGCAGCAACAAAAACCCTCACTGGCTGTGCCCGAGTCAGCTTTATGTAATCCACGTCTAGCTGTGCTGTTAAACGTTGTTGTGCAAAGCACCAGTGACAGTGAATGGAAACACTGCTGGGATGGGAGTGACACATTTATGGGAATATTGTTTTATAAGTCGCATGTGCCAGAGTGAGGTGCTTGAAATAGCTAACAAAAGCGGTATGATAAAAACAGAGTGAAGGAGGGTTAAGTCTTTACAGAATCAAAATCTGCCTTTGGAAGTTATAAATGTATGCGTCTACACAATAAAGATGGGTGGAAGCAGAGATGCAGATCATTGTTCAGAATTTATAGACGTGTTATTTAAGATTTATTGTTGGATCAGAGTTGATAAGGTGAATTTCCTCTGAAAGGTGTGTGTATCCTCTTGACCCCAATCAAAACTAAAACCAAGGGAACCAGAAAGCCAAATGACAACAGTGTGTCAACTTCCTTTTTCTAACATATCACCTGAGTGTTGGTGATAGTGGTATTACTAAAGGTATAGAGCTGTCTGGTTGCTCTCAAAAGAGAGAAAAGTGTAGTAGTTTAATTATTGCAAATTTATATCTATTATTTAATCCTTTCCGCATACTGAAAGGTAACAAATTACAGGAAACACCTAAATAAATGAGTGGAGACGCATTATAAAAGCATATGCTTCCATGAAGGGCACAAGGGTCAGAGAATAGTTATAGTTAATAGTATGAAAATGTGATGATTATTTGAGTGTTTGTTTTGGTCTGGGATTTGCGTGCTGGGTGCTTCTTGTGTCTTCGTCTTGTCTCGTGTTGTTTTGTGTCACTTTCCTGGCAGTGTTCGGGGCGTGTGCCTTTCTCTGGCTACTCACACACCTGGCTGAGGTCGTCACCGCACCTGCACCTCATCAATCCAGCAGTATTTAAGGAGCAGCCAAACATCCAGTCACCATTGTATTGTTGTGAAGTATTATGTATGCTACTGCTTTCCAGCCAGTTATTGAACTTTGTTACCTGTTTCTGCCTGCCTGAGCTATTCGCTTCTTGTCTGTTGTTGCCCACAACTAACCATGTCTCTCTGTCTCAGGAATCATCTCTGGAGATCAGCCCTGGAAAACTCAATCCCAGAACTCAACTCACTCTGCTCACGCCTCCCGTAAGACAGTGTGTGGACCTCCACTCTCCAAGCCTGTCAGCCCGCCACACTCAGGATCTTCCCCTACCTCTGGACCTCCACTCTTGCCTACCTGCACCCACTTTGCATAACTTACTCATTGTCAAATAAACCGTTGAA